CAAAGGACAGTGAGGCCAGCTTGTTCCAAATCTCAGTGGCTAAATAGAGTTCATCAGAATAAAGAGCATTCCTAGTGGATTATAACCCTGTGAATTAAATGAGACCCCTTGAGTCCTCAATATTAGTAAGTAAATGAATAACTTGGGAGTTTGGTGAGTTCAAGGCGCAAGGCTGCCATTGTAGTGCTATACGTTATTTTGCCTCTTGTAATGCCAGTATCCCATATCAGAAAAGCAATTGAAATTTGATGCATTTCCTTGCTCATACCCCAGGTGTTGGACCTCTGCCACCCCGGTGGGAGATTTGGGTGGAGTGCTTGGCTCCTGGGTGTGGCCTGGTCAGCCTTTGACTATAGCGTCTAGTTGGGGATTGAACCAGAAGATAGAAGGTCTCTCTCTTTCTCACATCTTCTCATCTGTTTCTTCTCACAAAATACTTATTAATTATGAAGAGTGTGAGAGTCACTTTGTAGTGAAGCCTGCAGTAATGTCCTGGTTCTGCTATGTTTGGTTTGTGTTAAAATGTCCTAGCTTCTGGGAAATATCTACTATATGTAAAACCGGTTGGCCACCTATTCTCCAGTGGTTCACAGAAAGAGGGGCATGTTGATTGTGTGGTTAAGATAAACCTGACACACAGTGAAAAAAATCCCAACAAGAGGCCCTGATAGCCTTGGGGATTTAATAGCAAGTCATCTCTTGGTGTCAGCATTGTGGTAGGGAGAGATGTCAGGAGGCCTACTGTAACTGCAACTGGTTCTTTAAGATTTCCGTGTTTCTGTTTGGATGTGTTTTCTGCACGTTGCCAGAGTATAGTGTCCCATGGATGTGAAGCTGTCTATTAGTGTGAGAGTATGCACTTATTACTGCCTCCTTGCTAAGCAAGAGAATGGAAGTGAAGGTGTCAGCTGCCTGAAGGTCTTTCCAGAAAGCCTGTGTGTCAGACCCATGTGACTTGTGCTTCTATCATCTGATCATCCCTGATAGAACATGTTCACTTTAATAGAACCCCAGACTTCCTGTTTGGTTTAGGGGAAGCATTTCCGTGCAGAACTAATTTTTGCTGTGTTTTTAACTGATGCACAGAGATGACTTACTGCTGGACCTCCTAAGCTATCAAGCCCTTTTTTATATGCTGATTGTGAATTATCCTTTCACACTGGGCATGTGTAATTGGAATAGAATTACTGATACACTCAAGAAGGCAGAACTTAAAATTTGTCTAAAGCATCATAATGTCATGGCACACAATTTAATGTTCTCTCTTCTTACCAGGCAGCTGATCAAGGCTCTGGTAGCGGCTTTTGAGCCATCTTTAGCCAGGGGAAAATTTCCTGACCTTTCTATTAGCAGCCAAAAGAAATGAATGAGACAATCAAGTACATGGATCTAGGCTAATTCCATTTTCTCCCTCTCGCTTCATTCTGCTTGGAAATTGCAGTCTCAGATAATAGGGAAGGAAGAAAGACAAAAGCTGGGAAGGCGTGCAGAAAGTTACTGTTCTTTGATTCTGTGGTAGGCAAACTTGGCTCAGGAAATATGTAATGTTCTCTCGTATTTTCGAAATGGTTGGTGTTTTTCTTACACTTTAAATAATATCTCAAAATTTGTTATGGATGTCTTAAAACAGTATTCAAAGAATTTTGCAAGAAGTGGGCACTGAGGTGCAGCAAGGTAAACTGCCTCTTGGGATGCCTGCATCCCGATCAGAAGGCCAAGCTCTAGTCCCAGCCATTCCCTTCTTCCCATCCACCTTCTTGCTGATGCAGACTGAGAGGGAGCTCATGCGCCTGGGCCCTTGTTGCCCATGTAGGCGTCTCCAGTGGATCTCTGTGCTTCTCAGAGCATTTAGGGCATGAATCAGCAGGTGGAAACACTCCATGTCAATCTTTCTTTCATAGCTTTCTTTCACTATTTGGAAGGCAGAGTGTCAGCAACAAAGAGGCATCTTGCATGCCTGTGTTGTTGTTGTTGTTGTTTGTTTTGGTTTTTTTCCCCCCTCATGGCCACAGTAGCCAAAGCTGGATCCAGGAACTCCATCCAGGTCACTCACATGGGTGGCAGGAATCCATCATCTGGGGCTTCCCCAGGTGTATTAGCAGAGCGTTGGATTGGAAATGGAACTGAACCAGCACTTCTTTATAGGATGCAAGTTGTGGCTTAATTTGTCACCGTGCAGCCCCACTGCTTTCTTTCTTTGCCTCTCCATGTTTCAAATACATGAAAACCAATACATATTTTAAATGATTTGTTTGTTATTGCCATGCTATGCTTATTCTGAGTTCAGTAATTCTCAAAATGTTTATTGTCTTACTTGTTTTTTTTTTATAAGATTTATTTTATTTTTATTGGAAAGGCGGATATACAGAGAGGAGAGACAGAGAGGAAGATCTTCCGTTGAGCGCAACGGCCAATGATACGCCGATCCGAAGCCAGGAGCCTCTTCCGGGTCTCCCACGTGGGTGCAGGGTCCCAAAGCTTTGGGCCGTCCTGGACTGCTTTCGCGGGCCACAGGCAGGGAGCTGGATAGGAAGTGGAGCTGCTGGGATTAGAACCAGCGTCCATATGGGATCCCGGGCGTGCAAGGCGAGGACCTTAACCACTGCGCCATCGCGCTGGGCCCTTATTGTCTTACTTGTTACAAAGAGCTGTCGTCAGAACCGCGGTAGAAAGCCCAAAGCCCACCCTGCCCACCTTGCACTTCCCAACATTGTCATGAATGTTCTTTAATGGGGCTGAGTACACGTCCAGCAGATTCTCGTCTGTACAGCATGTACTGAATGACCAATGTAGACAGTTGTTACTAGTTCATGTAGTTTTACTCTACTTCCTGCCAAATAGTAACTCCACAACTCTCTGAGGGAACATGGCTTAGATGCTAAGCCTTAGAAAGAAGGCAGAGGAAAGTAGGGGACTGGAATGATTTGAGAATCCAAGGCCTTAGAAGCTCCACAAGCAGGTCCGAATTGGTTTGTAGATATTTGTTGATAGGATAAAGAGGCAAGTATTTGGAAGGGTCGGGCAGAATCGTGCCCTTTGTTCTTTTTTGGGCCAGGCAGGTGCTCAGTAATTTGGTGCATTGATTTGAGCAGTATTAGCAGGAGTAGATCATTAAACATTTGTGCCGTTTTACTTTGTAGTCTCTGGCTTTTCACATAGGAGCTTAATTGTGTGAGTTTTGCTCGCCTGCTCCTGCTATTCCAGCTTTCTCCTGCAGACCCTATGTATTGACTGTAAAATGTCAATGCTCGGTAATTTGAAATGCAGTAACAAATATTTCTTTGTTCTCTTGGCATTTAAAATCACCAAGACATCGTGCACCCTGCCAAGTGGAGTTGTTCCCCCTGACATGTGCGCACGCGCACACACACACACACACACACGCACACACACACACACACTACCTCCATCACCTCCTCCCCCATCTTCTTGATAGTTCTCTGGTGGGTGGAACTCCTTCCTGCCCTGGTGAGGTTCCTGGATGTCAAAGTTACCTCCTTATCATCTAAATCTGCCGGGTTGCCTTCTCCATGGTGCCAAACACAACTCTGGGATAATGCCAGCGTTTGCCAGTAGCACACTGATGTGGTGACTCAGGAGACAGGGTGGCCAGCAAGCAGCCTCTTTGTGGGAGTGGATTTTGAGAAGTGCTAATTCCGTGGCGGGTTTGAGATATTAATATCATGCTGGCAGTAGATAAACAGGCAGCAGAGGGACATATAATGAGAAGCAACACAGCATCTTTTCTCCACTGGCACAATTTTTTTTTTCTTTTCCTCATTTTTAAAAGAAGTATGTTCTCCTGGGCTTTGATGAAGAGAACTCTTCAGTGGCTTAACTGTATGGAAATGCTGGTTAGTTCGGCTCCCAACATCCTGCCAGTGTGACTTCTTAAGGACCACTAGTATGTTTTGAGTTAACTGTATTTTCAAATAGCACTAAATTGTAGCATATGGCACAGTAGCCTATTGCTCACCATACCCTCTCCCTAAAGGGCAGCGAACCAGATGGTGTGAGTGGGGCCTTTGGTGTAATTATACCAGACACAGAAAAAGACATCGCCACTACTCACCCTCTGTAATATCATTCCTCTTGCTCTCCGGTGTTTGCGGAAGATGATTTTTTGAAGTTGATTTGCTTTTGCAGTGGGATGGTTCCCATTAAAGTTTCCTTTCCAGGTTGGGGCGGAGCCAGGGGAGTGCACTGCGTCGCTTTTCTGAAGGTCATGTCGCAAGTTTGTGTGTGTAGTTGGCAGGTGTAGGTCACTTGGTGCCATCTCTGATTCCAAGCTGGGAACAGTTTTCTTATTCCCATGAAAAGACGCCAAGAAGGCACATTCCACCTTCCCCATTCCCCTTGGAGTATTTCACCGAAACTGCTCATCTGAGATTTAAATTTTTTTATTACTTCATCTCACTTTGTCCTACCAAACTTCCTCTCCCCCACCCCCGATTTCCTTCAAGACTCATCCCTCTGCAAACCCCCCAGGAGGGAGGTCACTCCAACGAGTTCTGATGAGAAATCCTCTGTTGGCCAGGGCTGCTAACATTGCCAAACTGAAGCGACATTTTCTGGTTATAGATGAGGCTAGAGAAGGAGATTTTGAAAAATTTAGGTCACGCTTTTATGTGCTTGGTTTTTTTTAACTCTGTGCCTGGTACTTGAGAGCAGACTTTTTCTTGCGGGTAGTGGCTTGTTTATAACATTCTGCAAATAGCCTGGCCTAATGTGGGCTTTTTACAGATATTTTCTGCTAGTTTTATGTGTGGATTGATATAGCATCTGACCGTACTAACCAGAAAAATGCTGAGCTAGGGAACTTTGTTATTCAACCTTTTATTTGGATTTCTCACTGAGCAACTCATTGGTCTTGAAGTCCTCGGCTTCTCCCTCCCTCTGCCCGAGTGCGTTAAGACCTCCAGGTGCTAACCATTATTATTTCTGTTGACTGAGCCCCCTATGCACCTCCAGTGCTCACTGACCCATGTTTTCTGTTACAGCAACATTGCCGAGGCTCTTGTCAGCAAAGGTCTTGCGACTGTGATCAGATACCGGCAAGATGACGACCAGCGATCCTCGCACTATGATGAGCTGCTTGCTGCCGAGGCCAGGTAAGATGACACATCTGCAGACACGTTGGCACCGCAGCCCCACTGATCCGTTTCCCACGGCTGTGCCTAAACCTAAGCAGAAGGGGCTGGAACGTAATAAGCTCAGAAAACTTGTTTCGTTTCAATTGTTCCTGGTTTTCCCATGAGAAGAAAGAAGGCACACCTTGAACTTGCTGTCTAACCTTGCGTTGGTGTACCTGAACGTCCATTTTTAAAACGGTCTCTCTGTGTAGCTGAAATGAAAGAATCTTACAGAATGTGGAGTGTTTTCGTCAGCACTCCGGGGACTCACGGTTTGCCCACTGTTTCTCCCCACTGGCGACCTCTGCTTCCAGCCCCTCCCATTTTTCACCTCCTGACCCTTTGTCATGACAGAAGAGATGAAAATATTTACTAGGAAATGAGCTTTTGTTTTCACATGCTTGTGACAGCTGGCAAGAGTGCATTCAAGAGGCCCTGTGACATTTTACGTGACTGGCTGCGCCCGTTGAGCACTTTCTCGCCATTGACAGTCCCCAAGGCTCACTCAGGGCTCCTTTGGTCAATGGGTCTGCTGCTGGGGGAGGCACTGGAAACTGAACTATCAGTTGCTGACCTGGCTAGAACAGTGTCCCCAACTGGTTGTTGGCTGACAATCATCTAGACAGTTCACAGTAATTCATAGGGGGCTGAGCCTCTCTGCAGTTTTGCCATGAATTCTAGGACCCGTTTAGGCCAACTTCCTTGGTAGTTGTCGGTTTATGCTCTGCAGTTAGAAGGGGGATGGCTGGGCCCGTGTTACCTAACCCAGCTTCTGCTTTGTCTGTGTGATCACTTTTCTTGCCTTTGGTCCGGCATGTTGCCCTGCTCTGTAGCATTTCCCTTCAGCACCCATGTCTGGCATGGTGATGGATAGAGCGTTGGCACAGTGTCACACAGAATGCCAGCTGACAGGTCAGCCTGGGAAGCTCTTGTGGCTTTTCGGATTCATCCTGGTGGCTTTTTCCCAGTAGGGTCTGATTCTTAAATACCAAAAGCCCAGTGAAAAATACCCGTATCTTTGGTTGTTTGGGGCTCCTTAATAGCCATTTAAAAAGCAGTGATGAAATATAGTTTGTAGCTGGCATTCCGCCTAGCCTTCCCACTTCCCCTTGTCTCCTGACTGTCGTTACGGGTAAGACAGGTGGGCCCTGGGACCCACAATAGGAAATGTGATTTCACATGCCTTCGTACCGTGTAATCCTCGAGCTCCTCAGGAAAATGGGAAATGACAGAACCATACATGGGATTGCGGGGTAGGTCTGTGGGGAGCCATGCCTGGTCGGCTTGCAGGGTGTGTTGAAGAATGTATTGTGCACTCCCAGAGCCTCTGGAGCACTTAGCAGTACAATGGGATATAGTCTTCTTTTCTACCCTGGGTTTACTCTGCCACTAGTGAATATTTAATTCTAGCAGCCAGGTAAGCATGGACATAAAAGCTGCTGTGGAAACCAGAATAAGCTCTCTTATTATGCAGTAAGAAATAGCTATGTTGTGCTCTAATGTTTCGTGGGTATGCAGAGACAGTGAAATGTTTAGGTTTTAGGAGTAAACAGCCTCTTTAGCCCGGTGCTTATTCTGTGCTCAAGTAATGTAACAGGAAGCTTGCTTGCTAAAGCAGTGAGCTGCCTAGAGATAATTGTGTTGAGCCATTGCATTCAGACTGATGGTGGAAAAATTGGCTTCGAGGTCATTGCACTTGTTGCAAGTTGAGTAAACGGAGAGAAATTAGCCGCTTCTGCAAGCCAGTTGGGCAGGATCCTGAGGCAGTACAATTCTTGCAAGTGAGTAGGAGAAATGGCCCTTATGAACTGTGACTGGGTGACCATTGGGAATGGTGTCAGCCTGCCCCAGGGTGGCAGCCCAGTACCACCTTGTAGTTCACTCCCAGTGAAGTGAAGAAAGCTCCAAGAAAGAACAGGATGGCCCGCTACACAGCGGTGGTCAGCACTGGAAGCCCTGAGTTTTGAACTTGGTGATGTCAGCCTCTTTTGCAGACCACCTGTCCTAATGACACTCGGTAGTGCAAGGCCCTCATTTCCCCCAGCATCATCCCCTGGTTCTCATAGCACTCTGCCTCATGTCTGTGATACTCTAGCGTGTTCTCCATGCTCTGCCTGGCTGTTGAGTGTTGTCTGAGCTTAGGGTTGTTTCCCTCCAGGTAGATTAGCTGTATTTTTTTCCAGTTGAACTCTGCTTTTTGGTTTTATGCCCCTTTCGATCCAGTTCCTTTACCTCCCAGCTCGATGTCCTCTGCAGATCTCATTAGTGAGTTCTTTACTCCTCCGGGCCCTGAATAGAGCCCCTGCACAAGTGTGGCTTGTGTTGACCCCAGGTCTCTTGCTGCTTGGACTGTCACTTAACTGCCTTTTGTTTGCCATCCTTCAGCCACTATTTAATCTTCAGTGATTATGTATTGCCCTAAGCCAATTTCAACTAATTTCCCAAGTACATTTCTTGAGGTACTGTATCTAATACTTTGGCAAAGGCCAAATTTGCAACATCTGCTGCATTCCTATTAGTCCCTCATTATGAAAGTCTTCAGGTAAAGCAAGGTGGGCAAACCAGCATTGCATCGTGGCGGTTGGTGTCTCCCCACGAGGGTGTCCTGCCTGCAGGTTTCTCTGACCCTGACTGTGCTTCAAGTGTCGTCAGAGGGGTCAGCAGCAGAAGCACACGGTGCTCCTGCGTCCACTCTGCCTTGCACCGCGCTGCTTGGGCATTAATCCTTTGTGAGAAGCCTTGTACATTTGGAGAAGAAGGGCAGCCTGTTCACTTGTCCGACTTCTCAGGTCAGCGCAACTGCCTGCCTAGGAGTTGATGAGCTTTCCTAGTGCTGTGCAGCCAATGCTTCCTCTGCAAGGGACTGGGACCGGCCCACCGTGCTCACATCTGTTGGGCACTTAGGGAGGTCCAGCTGTTGGGGCAGGGCTGGGGAGATACACCAGTTTACTGTTTGCCTGTTGCCTGCAAGACACCAGCTGCCCCACCCCACAGCCGTGTTTAGTTTGAGGCCCCTTCCAGTTTCCTTGCTTCAGAAGTCTGTCTGCTCTCGGGGCACTCTCACTGTGTTATAAACACAAAGGAAGCTGCATCTTTTTTGTTTAAAGGGTAAATCTACTTCCCATTCTCCAAAGGTAGCCTTCCTTTTCAGCTCAGTTGTCTGTCATCAGCTGCTTCCTCACTCATTTCCTGGTGTCCTAGCAAGATCAGGAAGGCTGTGGCAGGTCCTGCTGTACTCATGTTAGAGTCCGGGCCAGGGCTCCCCGCCCAGACTTTAGGGTGCGAGCTAGTCAACCCCCAGAAAACGACAAAGAGTCTTGCTGGTAATGCAAAAAGCAAACAGAGTTTATTGTGCCAGCATGCTGGGGTCAGGTCGTACTTGGGGCACACAGGCCAGCCAAGTGGATCGGACCCTGACTTAACATAAGGCTGGAGATTCTATACCCCATTTTGGCTGTAATATATATCAAAGTCAACTCAAAAGTAACAAATTTAGGTGCAAGCAGTCTGTTCCATTCTCACACTCATTATTTATGTTCCCACATTTATTGTTTATGCTCCCACACTTATTATTTACGGCTCATCCCATCCTGACACCCTTATCTTTATGGCTCCTCCAGTCTTTTATGGCTCCTCCTGACCCTGGCTCCTCCCATCCCTGGCTCCTCCCGGCCCTGGCTCCTCCTGTCCCTGGCTCCTCCCGGCCCTGGCGCAGGGGAACTGTGCCCCTGCCTTCCTGCACCTGGGTTAGATGGTAGATAGAGAAACAAGGGAGACAGATTTATCACTAAAGTGGAGCTTTCAGACAGTGCAGGCACCTTCTGACCTAGCGAAGTAGTGGCTTCTCACCCAAAAGGGCCTAATATCACCTAACACTAATATTCTTAACATTTTAATATACTAACATTATACCAATACTCTAACACTCACAGCCTTCTTTCTCTCATGGGCCCCATTTCGAGCCTTTGATTTTTTTGTTTGTGGATTCCAAGAGTTCCAGGTTGCATGTCCTCTATTTTTTACACAAAGAACTTGGGTGCTGCTTGACCCCTGTGTCCCTGACAGCCCTGATCCTGCCCAACTCTTCCCCATCACCCTGCTTGTCAGGGGCTGCACAGGCCTCATTTTTTTTCTTTTATGTATGGTTCTGATGTTTTATCACCAATTCTGGTATTATAATCTTTCTGATTCTTTTTCTGTTGCTGTATTTCAGGGAGCCGGCCGGCCGGCTGCCTGCTGTGTGTGGGTGAGCCCTAAGTCATAGGTAGAGCTTGGACTAATGGCTCCTGACCCTTGTTGTGTGTGTCTAGGTTTGTGGGTTGTCCATGATCGGGACCCTCCCTGGGATCCAGTAGAATAGAGGGGTCACTCGGCACCGCCCTCAGTCGAGTGCTTGATGTCCTGTCTCGATGCGATTCCGGAGAGGCCGCAGTACGACCTTCCTCCTTGTGGCACTGTCCCTCTGTTCTTTGACATGCTGCATGCACTAAAGAAAAGCCGGTGAGGCCTACAGTCAGAGCACAGCCTGGCTGTGTGTCACTGCTTATTATGGCATCCAGGCATGCGGGAAGGTGGGAGACTCATTGCTGGACATCCTCATAAAGGGACTAATAGCTTTGTTTTAAAATGTAATATCTAAAATAGTCTAGAAGTTCTTAAACTCTTCGACATATTACTAGAAGACACAGGTGTTTTGTTCATTCCAAAGTTGGGACTTTATTCCTGTGAGGTATCTTTTAATTCCAAGAGTTCATGATTTCAACATGTATATATATTCAGAAAAGAAATTGATGCCCCAGCTTGACTGTTGGCTAGCAGTTGTATTGAACAATCTAGTGTCTGAGCAGATTCAAATGAATTTAGATTCATTCTGGACATACATAATGAGGTTAGGGTTATCTCTGGAGAGGAGAAAAGGGCAAGCCGTCTCTTATCTTTTCATGTATATTCTGATTCTTGCCTGGCACAATGTGCAGTCA